TTGATAGCCGATCCTATGGACACTTGTATTTGGATAAGTTGTTATGTCATTGCAAACAACTTGAACTGTTTAAGACAAGTCTATTTGAATTTAAAGGACTCAACTATATTACCGACTCAAACAACAGTTATCTGCCGTCACTTAGGAGTATAGCTGATGTTATGGTCAACCAATCGGACGATATACCGGTATTTCACAAGTTTTGTACAAAATATTGCCAACAATTGCACCGATTGGACACATTTTTATCGCACAAAATCAATGATAACGAGTTTGACAATTATCTACAGTCGTTGTCTAAGTTTAAGTGTCTCAAGAGATTGCAGACAATGTTTGACGCCATCGATGACAATGATATGACTTTTATGTCAAATTTTATTTGCAAATTATCGCAAACCTCTACACAATTACAATATTTTGATTTATTTATTTCGGGCTGTAATTTGAATAATTCAGACAAAATACTTCAATCGTTTCAAAGTTTTTCAAATGTAAAACATTTTGAATTTAATTTTCAAGATTATAGTGAAAACAAACAAACAATTCAATCGGACAGTCAGTTTGTGGATTGTTTTAAATCAATGTCTAATAGTTTGAAATATTTCAAGTTTACCACAAACTTGATTACTAATGAAAATTTTTTCATTAATATTGATAACTATTTGCCTAAATTGTCGACACTTATCATTGAATCGGAAACTGAATTCACTGATCAAACTATTAGCTATATATCGGGACTAAAATATTTGCAAACATTTCAATTGAATGCCTGGACTTTAAATCACAAATTAATAACCGATACAAGTGTTTGTCAACTAATCAATTGTTGTAAACGTATTGAATTAATCAGTTTTTCTGGTCGACCACTAATTAGTTATAAAACAATTGATGCGTTGATTTTATGTGCAAATAGTTTCCCGAAAAAAACATTAGACTTTCAGACGGGATTTGAAAATGAAGAAAACGTGAACGAGTTTCCCGAAATTGATTTAACCGTTTATGACAATCAAATACCCAGTAATCTAACAGTTAATATAGAAACAGGGTGAATTAAATAAATAATAAAAAGTATTTAAATTGAACAAATTTTGATAATTTTAATTAAATGTAAATATTTTTTAATAAATTAACATGTGATATTGCAAAAATATAATAATGAATTATTTAAATTAAATTTGTATATTTTAACTTTTTTTATAATATTTCTAATAAACACATTTTAGTTTTTGCAATTTTATAAATAAATGTTATATATAAATAAATAAAAAGTAGTAGTAGTAGTAATAGTAGTATAATATATGGCCCGTAATCAAGAAAATAGTAAACATGAGATCCGCGTCCTATTGAAAACTTTTAACTATCATAAATATAGTTAATTAGAAAATTTATGTTAAAATCTCAATATTAACTATTAAAAATAAAATAAAATTAAGAAATGTTTTCTATTAATTAATTTCTATACTAATAATTACAAATTATTATTTAACCACAATCTTATAGTCTAATGATAAAAAGATTGAAAATTTATTTTTATAAATTTTGAAAATGCCATTTTTCAATAATAAAATTTTAATTTTGCATTTTTATACAAAATAAAAATTAATAAATAATTAAAAAACTTCCTCCAGGTATATGTGTGTCAGAGAATTGTAAAGAATTGTAAAGTAGTAAAAATTGGTGATATATTTTGTGGTAACAGTTGTCCTAAAGTAGGTATGGCCAACAATATCAACAACAATGGTAATGATGTGGATGAATATCATCTTCAAAATGAAATCAATTTGTTAATGAATCAAATGTTAGGTGAGGTCGAAGAAAATCCAAACTTATTGAATCGACAACCGTGGGAATGGACTGATTGGCAAAATCTACCGATTCCGATGATACCGACTCCAATACCACCGCCAGTGAACTATGACTTTCCTAAAGACTGGTCGGCCAAATGGTCCGATTGGGACGAAGCTGGTCCGGGACATGAAGTCACGTGGGATAACGATAATACAGGAGATACCGAACACTACAAGACTGTGCTCAGAAATCACGGCTATTATATTAAAGATGAAATACGGGTTACCGAAGGAGTTCACGATCACTCTATACTAATTGTTAGGACATATGAGGACAATGAAGACAAAGATATAAAAAAGGTTTGTACGCCTGTAAGATAGTATCAATGGGTTCATATAAACGTAGGTTTAGGGATAAAATAGGGAAAGCAGTCGTGGCTTTTCGTAAGAAAGCAGATATATTGATGCGTTTGGCTAAACACAACAACACAAATATCATACGAGCCTACGATTGGATTGAATTGAATGATTTGCAAACAAATTTTCCCTACAATTATTCAGCCATTATTATGGATCTAATGGACGGCACACTAATCAATTTGGTCGAGTCGTCTGCCAGTAGTCCTAACGATGCCAAAGGTATCGGTTATGACTATTGTCAACTATGTGCCCGACATTGCGCTCAGGGACTAAAGTTTTTGTATACAACACGAAAAGATTATTTGGCTTAAATCTATATTATAGACAGCCAGCAAAATAGTATTGTTTTTTATGGAGTTATACATATATAAAATTTTAGTTTTATTAATTATCATTTAGTTAGGTTAGTTTGGGGTTGGTGTGAGGTTAGGAAGTGGTTGGGTGGGTGGGGGTGGGTTTGGTGCTAATAATTTTCTACTGGCTGTATATAATATAGATTTGTTCCGATTATTTAAGCAATAAAACCAATCGACAGGTTAGCGAGTATTATACTGTCGTTCATATGGCACTCGCATCACGCAATATACTGTTCAAATTGGTCAACAATAATCAATCGCAGCCACATTATCAGTTCAAATTGGCCGACTTCGAGGAATGTTATATCTACGAAAACAACGAACCGATAGTAATACCTGATTGGGCTCTAAAAAGACGATACAAACACGAATACAGTGCTCCTGAATGTCTAAAACCAACTGCCAATTTACAAACCAGACCAATGGATATGTACAGTTTGGGCGCCTGTATCAACTATGCCTATACTGGCCAATATTTATTTGATCCCAAAGAGTTTGCTAAACGATTAGACAGTTATCCCAAATATTTGGCTAATTTTATCGGTAGTCTAACACATCCTGATGCCCGATATAGACTCACAGCAATCCAGGCACTCAAACATCCATTTCTTAATATTTAACAATTGAAAAAAGGTTAAAAAATTATTATCAGGTATTTTATAGTTTTTTTTGAATTAAAAGTTTTGAAATTTTTCTATTGATTGTTTAAATATTAATTAAATTTTAAAATAAAAGTTATTTTAAACAAAATTTTTTAAAAAAAACTTTACCAAAAAAAATAGTTTTTATGAGAACAGTTGTATTTTGTAGTAGTAGTAGATATGGCAGACAATGAGGAAAACGAGAACCAGTCGCTACTGGAGCCGCAGCCGTGGGAATTGGATGAAGGAGCAAATCAGCCGCATCCATTGATTCCAGTTGTGATCTATGGCGTACAAAGATGGTCAGATATATGGTCTAATTGGGACTTAGCTGGTACTGGACATGACATCCCGTGGAACGTCTATGTCAATCAAATGCAACATTACTACGAACTGCTCAATGATTACGGCTATCTCTATAAATATAATATTAAAGTGTTACCGGATAAACACGATCATCAGATTGTGTGTGTGTCGGGACCTACAGAAGATGCCGATACCAGTGATATTAAACGCTGTGACTTTGCCTGTAAGATAGTATCACTGGGCTATCATAAAGGTAGTCGTGGTCGAGCTATAGACGGTGCTGTCCGGGATTTTCTAGTAGAAGCCGACATACTATTGCGTTTGGCTCCATACAAGCACAAAAATATTATACGTTTGTATGACTGGATAGACCTAAAAGATAGTCAAACAGATTTTCCCTACAATTACAGTGCATTGATTATGGACTTAATGGACGGCTCACTAACCGATTTAATGAAAAAACAACGACATAATTCATTATCACCCGAAATGTGCAAACTGTGGGCCCGGGATATAGCTAAAGCACTGGTGTTTTTGCATCACGGAAACAAACAAAAGCTGGACCATAAGAAACAGCCCATCCGTGGACACGATGGTCGACCGATTGTCGAAAACTTTACTGTTGTCCATATGGCAATCAAACCGCGTAATGTACTCTACAAATTGATTCAAATAAATTATAAGTCTAAATATGTATTCAAATTGGCAGACTTCGAGGAATGTTATGTCTACGAACATCATCCACAAGACACCGAATATTTGGATTTACTACCCGATTGGGCCGTAACGACCAAACCCTCAAACTCACACCTTCAAAGAGCACCCGAACTTGACCCTGATAATAAGCCTCATTCCAGTTTGCATACGCCGCCAATGGATATGTACAGTTTGGGCGCCTCTGTTGACTACACTTATACGTGTAGGAAAAAATTTGATCGCCAACAGCTAATACAGGACTTACGGGGTTATACCTCGAGTCATATGACTGATTTTGTTGCAAAACTAACAGATCCCACTCCCTATTACAGGCTAACAGCAAAGATGGCTCTTAAACATCCATTTCTTGCAAACAATTGAGAGGAAAAAAAACTAAACAAAATGTTTATTATCAGGTATTTCATAGTTTTATTTCAAGATTAAAAGGTTTGTAATTTTTGAAAAAGTTTATAATTTACTTTAAAAATTTTTATGCAAATAATATACAGTATTTTTTTAAAAGCCTACCAGTGCTCACAAACCAACGGTGAACCAAAGTATAGTAAATTACAAGTTAAATACTCAATGCAATAAATCAATTTATTTTGTTATACTGTAACTATGATATAAATTTCAAATTAATAAAAAAATAATATAAAAAATAATCTATTTATACATAATATAAATATCATTTATAAAAAACAGCATTGGGTTATATTAATATAATATAACACCCATCATAAAGACATAATTTACAACAAAAATAAATAACAATTAATTAATTATAATAATAATTATCTTAAATATCTATATCTCATTAACAGGAATGTAATGAACGATATAAATGCTATGAATAGCAAAATCAGTTCAATTATAATGAAAATTGAAGGAAACGACTCAATATATTTGCCTAATATTAGTGGCGGCAGAAAGTTGACGACACCGCACATTATGAATACCAGTGTTGCTATACGATCGGTAATTTGCAAGTATTTGCCGAAAAACCCGAGTATTGCGGGAAACAGTACTGAGACAGAGTACCCGATTGAGGCGCTAACTATCCATAACAGTTGCGGTATGTTTTGGCCAAATGTCAGGCCAGTTATGGTAATGAAGGACAGCATAAAATTGAATGTAATCATATGTTCCGTTTTGAACAGGAATGCCATACCAAAGTTGACTACTTGACCGATAGTATAGGCCGCAGACATTATCGATACCATACTGGCCGCCATCGGTGCTGTCAATCGGACGGGTATGTACTGGAAATATGTTGAGCCAAAATTAAAGTAGACTAACTCGAGTGAGTTGATTGATGACAAACAAATAGATAGTAGGATAACTGTGCGAATCTTTGGTAGTCTATTATTATTTGGTTGATGTATATCACTAGTATGTCCGCCGTTGCCGTTATCATTATCGTCGTCATCATCATTGTTGGCCGGCATCAGTAGATCAGGATTATCGCTGAGCGGTGAATATTGACATCGATCCAGATGTGGTAGTCTATAGCGCTTACATACAAACATCAATAACATTATCAACGGGACTGTTAGGTAAAAAAATAATGAGAAAAAATTATATTAGAAAATTACTCGGAAATATTCACCCGAAAAACTAAACTTACAGACAATTAGTATACCGCCGCTCATCAGAAACGGCTTCTCCAGTTTAACTCTTCTCTCCCATACACTGATCGTCGAAGAGTTTGACTGCAAAAACAGTGACTCCACATCCCTATCCTTGTCGTCCAAAACTACAGATCTATTAGTATCGCCCGTCAGATACGGTCGGTCCAGTAACGGACCCAATACGGCTCCCGTACCGTACATAAGCTGCGAGATGAACAACACTTGGCCGGCATTGTGTTGCCATATTTCGATAAGCCATACATTGTATGCGGCAATCCAGGCACCAGTTCCGATGCCAAACACCAGTGCACATGAATACAGTTGCATTAAACTATCGGTAAACGGTATGCAAGTACTGGACAGTGCCATCAATACGAGTAACCCTACAACAACCAGCTGTCGGTTCAGGTAATTGTAGGACATTCCCACTGGTTATCAGGAGTATAGGTATCAGTATATATCAATTAAAATAGTTTGTATATCTTTATTTTGTTGTTGCTTATAAATTATATACTACAGTAAAATATAGTTGTTTTTAAATAGTTACCTAATGTCCCGATAACGTTACCGATGGACAGTAAGGTTGGTATATACGACACATTTTGTATGGTTGTGTTCAGTATGTACTTGAGGTCGACAAACGCCGGACCAAACATTGACACACATAAGGCCTAGAAATTGATAAATCAAATAAATAATTAAATAAAATATAATTACTTTATAATTTAAATAATTATAATTAATTAAAAATATATATATAAACTTACAAATGCCATGTGTATCATTAATAAAAGTATGGTGTACAAATAATTGACTCGATTAACTAGCAACATTTTTGTTGTTGTCTAGTTTTGATACTACTAATTATTATTTAAATTAATTAAAAAAAATAATAATAAATAAATAAATTGCTATATTTGTATATGAGATTTGTAATTTTTATTTATATGATATGAATAAAATATTTATTTTTTAAAAAAAACTATAGCTTATTTCCCAAATAACTTTGATGATGATTTAATAATTTCAATATCACATATAGTTTTAATTGTGATATTACTATTTTACAACTATATAGACAAACAATTTTATATCCAGGGAACATTTTTGTTTTATTGCATAATCATCTAATTTTTAGTGCATTAACATTACTACTATTATTAATAATAATAATAATATTACTGTCCATGATGATTAATGACACCAATTACATAATTAATTAAATTATTGCATTTATAGTCACATTTTTTTAGGATGACAAAAAAATCAATTAAAATAAAATAAAAATCACTGTACGTTTAATTTTATTATTGTTTACACATAAAAAATAACCACCCACAATTTTTGGTATTTTTGTTTGTATAGTATTTTGAAAATTATTAAAATTTATGATAACTATTTATTACTATTACTATTATTATTACATATTATGAGTTTAAAAAACTAATAAATAAAAAAAAAGTTGGGATTTATTTTTATAAAAAAAATACACTTAAAGATACTGTAAAGTAATAGACTGTAAATATAAAACTAAAAAATGTAAACACAAACTGTGAGACACGTGTCGGACACTAACAGTACTACTACTGTACTATTAATACTAATAGTAGTTATTGTGATATTAATACCAATACTGTATTCATTATATTTAATACAGTTGTAGTAATTTTAGTACAGTATGTGTTATGTAAACTATACGCCAATTGGTTAGTAATACTGTATTATATTGACAGATACAGTATACACCATTGTACCACAACATATGATACAAATAAATTGCACTAATAGTTGTCAAAATAAGTTTCAAGGTTATTATAATATAAAATTATTGTAAAAAAATATACTAGATAATTATTAATTAAATTGAATATAATTAAAATATTTGTTTAATCTAATGAATTTTGTACCATAATTATTTATAAAATAAAAAAAAATATAAACAAGATTACTGTATTTGTGTAGTATTTTTTTTAATTTATTTAATTAATTAATAAAATTATTTTAAATAAAAAATCTGATTAATCAGTATTCATTTTTATTAATTAATTTAATTAAATAATATAATTAATCTAAAAGTTTAATGATAATTTTTATTTTGAATTTTTGATTTTAGATTATTTATACAAATGTTAAAAATACTAATCAATACTTGAATCAATAAACAAAATATTTAATTAATAACTAATTAATTGTAATAATGATGTTTTTTTAATGATAGCAATTTATTTAAAACAATTTATTAATAGTTATATTTGTTTGTTATTTGTTTATAAAAAAATAAATGTTTTCCATTGAAATTGAAATTTGTTTATATAAGAGAAAATGTGTTTCTAAAAAAAATCTATACAATGAAAAAAAATGATATAAAATCAATATTTAGTTAGTAATTTTTTACATATACATTAAAATGAACTTGGTTTTTTTGTGTGTAACTTTATACTTTCTGAGCAAATAATATTAAATTTTAAATAAAATTTATATTTTATATACAGCTAATATTTAAGTATTATTATTATTATATAAAAAGAAAAATTATTAATTAGTTTAATTAGTTTTTTCAACTATACTAGTTGTCTGTATTAATATAACACAATAGCTTAGTATTACAGCCATAAGTGATATAAAAGTTTTTCCATTAATTGTATACCAATTAAATGCTGTAAAACATAACTGTTTACTCATTAGCCTTAATCTTGACAATAATGCACAGAAATTTGAATTGTATATTTGGTGGTCAAGTATGTTACCACCACTGGGCACTACTAGCCTGGTACTAACACTTTCAATTAGGGTTAACTTGTTTAGTAAACTTTGCAAACATTGGGACATATGTCCAGAAAAATAGCATAACGTCCACATTATAGCCATAGACTCGACAATTGGTCCTAAAGTATCAGTATAATTGGTACCGGAGCCGAAAAATAATATAGAAAAATTTGCAATACAATTGACAGTATTAAATGACAGTGATATCATTAAGTAGACATTAAAATGTTTATCAATTTTTTTGACAAAAACATGAATTTTTAAAATCTCACGAAATGTTTTTGTAATATTCATGACATTAAATGTATGCAAATTGTTTGAAATCATATCTATTTTATATCCAATACATAGACTGGTATAAGAAATAAGTGTTAGAGGAGTTAGTCTAACGGTTAGTGCGACAAAATATCTGACCACAAAACATACGTTAGCAATGCTAATCCATTTTTGACCATAACTGGTCAAATATATAGCCAAATGCATTATGATTATGATACAGGTGCTCGACAAGTGTATTAGTAAAATAATAATACCATACATGCGGTCAGTTTGAGAATTGATAGCCAATAAGTGTTTATAATTGCAAAATAGTTTAATTATAGCATTACCATTGACCAGTAGGACTATCCAGGCTGTCAATATTTCAATGATTATACCTGCACATGCTACTACAAATGCAATATGAACTAGGTCATATTTGTTGCTAGAAAATTGACCATGATTGTGATAGTTATACAAATAAAATAAATAGATGAAAACATCACGGGCTAGATAGATGACCATGGCCAATTGGATCAGATTCCATAGTATATAGAATAATTTTTTAAGCCAAAATGTTTGTTGTCGGCACCTCCATAATATGTAGGTAGTTCCAGTGCAAGTATGATAGTTAATTAGTACTAGTAGGCCATGGTTTAGTGTGTCATAGTTATTATTATTATTATTATTATTATACATGTTATCAATGTATTTTTATTTTTTTTTTATTTTTTGATGATTAAGAAATATAGTATAAGTAATATTGATTTTGTTTTATTTACAACTCTTGACAATTTTTGTGATTAATAACTGCAGTATAATATCAGTTAATAATAATAATAATGTTTTTTAAAATAAAAATTTTATGTTTTATTAATATCTTTATATAAATATATAAGAATTAAGCATAATATGAAAAATATTATTAACATTTCATATAATATAATAAAAAATATTTACAATGTTTCAAAATTTAATGACTAGGTTAATATATTAGTTTTTTATTTTATTTTAACAATATAAATTTTTATTTATCATTTTATATTGTACTATGTTTGTAACAAATATTTGTATAAAATTTTTACAAACAAATTTATTTGACATATTAAATAAAAAATAAAGTAAAAATTATAACAAAAATATTAATAAAATGATTGATTAATACATTACAGTATTATTGATGCAAAATGTTGTTAAATTATACATTATATCTATTGTATTTAAAAGTTATTAATAGATTAGTATAATTATAAGATATAAATGTAATTTTAAGTAAACACAATATAATATTAATTAAATATTAACATTTTGTTGTATTGTCAATTTTCATAATTTTATTAAAAAAAAAAGTTTAATCTAAATTAAAAACGCATAGTATTTTAATAAGATTCATAATTAATTAATTAATAATAATAATAATACAATATAATCAATCTGTAAATTAAATATTACAATGCAATATATAATAAATAGTAAAAATTTTTATTATTTATAATTTTTATGTAATAATTTTTACTTTATAATTATTACTTTATCACTATTTATAAATTAGTAATTTAAATTACTTAATATTTAAAAAAAAAATTGTTTCTAATAAAAAAGAAAAGTAATATTAGTAAAAGTGCAAAATATTGATAAATTCTATCATTAATAAAGTTTATCTGATTTTTTAAAATAATTATTTATTAATTATTTAATAAAAATTTATTTTTTAAAAATATCTTAAATTTGTTATCAAACAATTAATAGTCCGTTTTTGAGTCAGATTATGAAAATATTTTATCAATTGCTATTTATTATATCTTAAAATAAAATATTTTATATTAATTAAAAAAAATTATTATAAAATTAGATTCACTGAATTAAATTTTATTGCTTTAAATTAAAGTGAAATTAATAACAAAAAAATATTTATTATTTTTAATAAATTATATACAGTACAGTCACGATGTTAATAATAATAATACTATAATAATAAATATTTTATATTAATTTTTTTCAAAATTAATTAATCATCAATAATGATAATTAAAAATTTATTAATTTTAAGTAATAAAAAATTATATAAGAATATAACTATAGAAAAGTAGTATATTTTTGTTAAACATTACTATTAGTTTGTTTAAAGTATTTTAGTATAACAGCTAATTACATATAAATATTTTTTGTATTTGTATTAAATTACAGTCAATTGTGGTCATAGGTATCAAACTGTATGAGTGTTTTTTGTTATAAATTACTATTTTTGTATTTTTGTTTAAACAACATTATATTATTTTTTTAAAAAAACATATTGAATTAACAAACCAACAAAAAAACCCCTATTTTATTTTATGATTTTTTTAGTTTAGTTTTTTAGATTAAAAAAAATAAAATAAGTTAAATATTATTAAAATTATTGTCAACTTGTACAATTGATTTACCTTGGTTATCAAACTAAAAATTTACAATTTGTATTTTATTGTATGTGTAGTAATACTGGTGCACCTAAATGGGTTCAAATAATATGATTATTGAATTTTTTTAATCAATCATAATCACAATTAGTTACCTATGATACTGGAGGTGTGATCAGTAGGTGTGAATCAATTAATTGTATTTTATTTGTTAATCATAATTGTATTTTTATTTTTAATTAATTATCTAGATTATAAACTTTAAAAATAAATACGTAACACTAATATTTTGCAACTGATAATATATTAGTGATTAAAAATAAGTGTAATTATTTTATTACCTGTAGGATTATCACGTGTATGTCACTTGTACTGCAGTTTGCATATAACTTATATATGTAATTTAATTTTTTTTAAAAACTTTTTTTTTACTGTACTTTGTATCTATAATTTTACTTTAACCCCTTTGTGTTAAGTTAGAAAAAAAACTATATAAAACTCGAAAATAATTGTGAAAACTACAAAAAAAAAATTATCCTAAAATTATTATAGAAAACTTTAGTTTTAGTTAGATCTTACAAAAAAAAACAATGTTTCGTTTAATACTATCAATAATAGTTTTAGCCAACTATTTAACACTAATATCGACAAAAAGTGTCAACAGGTATCAACATAGTGATGGTATGTAATAATAATAATTATTATTATTAATAAAAATATTTTAAATTATGATTTTTATTAACAATTTAGCCGAATCAGATGCTAAATACTGGACAGATCTGTCCCGGATGTCCATAGAAGATGCCTATAGATATAAATCTATTGAAAATCGTGCCAAAAATGTTATACTATTTTTGGGCGATGGTATGGGTGTGTCAACCCTAACACCGTCTCGTATATTGAAAGGACAGCTCCAGAACCGATCCGGCGAAGAGTCGAAACTGGCATTTGAAGAGTTTCCATATGTGTCACTAATAAAAGTATAGTAATTAAATAAACCCAAAATTATTAAGTTATATTAAAATTGAATTTTAATTTTTGTTTTTTATTTGTTTGTTATCAGACCTACAATGTTGACTATCAAGTACCCGATAGTGCCGGTACAGCTACTGCATTCATGTGTGGCGTCAAAACTAACAAAGCAGTGATAGGAGTGACCGCACGGGTTAAATACGGCGAAACCAATTGTCAAGTAGTCCAACAAAATAGTATTTCATCGATACTCAAGTGGGCATTAGATTCAGGTATTTTATATTTTATTGTTGTGCTTAATATACTACTGTCAATACAAGCGATATATAAGCTAACTATTTGTACTGATATTTAGGTAAAAGTGCTGGTGTTGTGACCACTACACGAATAACTCACGCCACACCTGCCGGTGGATACGCTAGTGTCGCCAACCGTGACTGGGAGGCGTATATGCCCGATGAGGCCAATACTGATCCAAATGGTTGTAAAGATATAGCCAGACAACTGATAGAAAATTCGCCCGGTGCTAATCTGAGTGTTATATTGGGCGGTGGCAGTCGATATTTTGTGGCCACCACGGAAAACGACACCGTTAGCGGTAAAAAGGGATTGCGACGGGACGGACAAAATTTGATAGACAAATGGCATCAATTGAAACGAGATAACGGTTTGCCGGACGAGTCCTATAAATTTGTTACGACAAGGAATGGTCTAAAAGCTGTTGATTACAATAAAGTAAACAATTTGTTTGGACTGTTTAATGGCGATCACATGTCCTACGATATGGAACGAGTGGTCGAACCCGATGGTGAGCCCAGTCTTGAGGAGATGACCGATGCAGCCATTCAGGTGCTCAAAAAAAATACCAACGGATTTGTGCTGCTTGTAGAGGGCGGACGTATAGATCATTCACATCATGACAACTACGGTGTAATGGCATTGTACGAGACAGTAGCAATGGACAGGGCTGTCGAAAGGGCTGTAAAAGTTTCAACACTCAATGAGACATTGATTGTGGTTACAGCTGATCACTCGCACACATTTACAATGAATGGATACCCTAAACGTGGAAATCAGATAACCGGTGTGGCCGGTAAAGATGCCCGTAATGTACCGTTTACTACACTAATGTATGGCAATGGACCGGGATATGAACAGGACAGGACAGATCCGTCAACTGTTGACACTTGTACGTATAGTTTATACAAAATTATATTGCTACTATAATTTATTAAATAATTAATTAATTTCATCTAGCTAAATTGCGATATAGAAATCTGGCTGCCGTACCATTGAGCAGTGCCCATCACGGGGGAGAGGATGTTGGTATGTATTTTTATATATATATATCAATTACTATGACTATTATTTATTATAATTTTCTAATTATTTAAGTTTTGTTATTTATTATAATTAATTAAATATATATATATTAACAGCACTGTATAGTGTGGGTCCGATGGCACACATGTTTCACGGATCACAGGAACAGTCATATGTTGCACACGGCATGGCTTTCGCCGCATGTATTGGACAGTTCACTGATGGTCAGTACGATCACTGTATGATGATATCCGGTGGCCGATCAGTGTATATGACTAATATATTTTGGATAATTGTGTTATTATTGATATTTTGTTCAAAAAGTTTTCTATAATTACACATTCAATATGATTATTCATTTCAGATTATTTATTATTGTTATATTTTAGTTATTTATTATTTGTGTAAAATTTTATTATCATTATTTTAGTTATAAAATTACAATTCATCATTAACTATTTAAAAAAAATACAATCAATTACAAATATTATATTAATTTTTACCTATTTGGTTAAATTATATTAATTATTTAAATTAAACTTAAATTATTGTAAAATTAGTTTCACTAAATAAAAGTTTATTGTTTAATTTTAAATGAAACTAACAAAAAAATGAAAATGTTTATTTATTTTAAAACTATTTCTTTATCAAAGTCTATACTAAAAATCTAATAATCATAATAATTACAAATCATTTTATTTATTTATAAATTATATCATATTTTTTTTCTTATATACAGTAAAATGAATACATTTAAGCAATAAATATTTATATTTTAATTTTCCAATTCATTACAGTATTTTATTATATAAAATAATATTACAACAGAGAATTATATATTATTTTTGTTTGTTTTTATATTATAAATTATATCGCTTATAATCAAATATATTTTTACTTATATATATTATTTTATATAAAAAAAATTTAATCTTCATTATAAATATTGTATTAAATTAACCTAAAACTGTGTATATAAACTGTTTTTAAAACTAAAAAATGATTTGTGTTATTTTTTATATTAATATTATATTTTTAATTTCAAATATATTTTAATTGTTATAACTTAGTAAGTTATTAATATTTAATAGGTAATAAATTATCTTGGTTGTAAAACTATTTAGTTTTTATAACTAAAAAATTAATTATCAAAAAAATAATACTAATATTACATATAATTACTCAACAAAATAAATAAAAAACAATGTTTCGTTCAATACTATTAATAATTGTTATATTCAATTATTTGACATTAATATCGACAAAAAATCTCCAAAAGTTTCCATATAGTGATGGTATGATTAATAACTATTGAATAATTATTAACTAATTGTTAATATATTTTTTAATACTGTCTTAACTTACATTTAGCCGAATTGGACGCTAAATACTGGGAAAGCCAGTCGCGTATGTCCATAGAGAATGCTTATAGGTATAAGTCCATTGAAAATCGTGCCAAAAATGTTATACTATTTTTGGGCGATGGTATGGGTGTGTCAACCCTAACACCGTCTCGTATATTGAAAGGACAGCTCCAGAACCGATCGGGAGAGGAGTCAAAACTGGCATTTGAAGAGTTTCCTTATGTATCACTAATAAAAGTATAGTATAATATTTAAACACATTATAATAAAATAGAAATTTAATTCAAACTTATCGTTAGACCTACAATGTTGACTATCAAGTACCCGATAGTGCCGGTACCGTAACTGCCTTCATGTGTGGCGTCAAGACTAACAAAGCTGTAATAGGTGTGACCGCACGGGTTAAATACGGCGAAACCAATTGTCAAGTAGTCCAACAAAATAGTGTCTCATCTATACTCAAGTGGGCACTAGATTCAGGTATTTATTATTAAAGTGCTACTAGTGCTGACTAGTGATAATATTCATATAAACTTATTATTTAAACTTTTTTTAAGGTAAAGGTGCTGGTGTTGTCACTACTGCCCGACTAACTGATGCCACACCAGCCGGAGGATACGCTAGTGTAGCCAACCGCGACTGGGAGGCGTTTATGCCCGATGAGGCCAATACTGATCCAAATGGTTGTAAAGATATAGCCAGACAACTAATAGAAAATTCACCAGGTGCCAATTTGAGTGTCATACTGGGCGGTGGCAGTCGATATTTTGTACCAAACACAGAGACTGATGTCGTAAGCGGTCAAAAGGGATTGCGACGGGACGGACAAAATTTAATAGACAAATGGCATCAATTGAAACGAGATAACGGTTTGCCGGACGAGTCCTATAAATTTATTACAACAAGAAATGCCCTGAAATCTGTTGATTACAATAAAGTAAACTATTTGTTTGGACTGTTTAATGGCGATCACATGTCCTACGATATGGAACGGGTTATCAAACCTGATGGTGAGCCCAGTTTGAAGAAAATGACTGATGCAGCCATTCAAGTGCTCAAGAAAAATACCAACGGTTTTGTACTGTTGGTAGAGGGCGGACGTATAGATCATTCACATCACGACAACTACGGTGTAATGGCATTGTATGAAACACTGGCTATGGACAGGGCTGTCGAAAGGGCAGTGAATGCGACAAATCTGAATGAAACTTTGATTGTGGTTACAGCTGATCACTCGCACACTTTAACAATGAATGGATACCCTGAACGTGGAAATCTGATAACAGGTTTGGCCGATAAAGACGACCGAAACGTACCGTTTACTACACTAATTTATGGCAATGGTCCGGGATATCAGCAATATAGGACAGACCCGTCAACTGTTAACACTTGTAATATAATATATATATATAATTGATTTTATATTTTTATATAATTTTAATATTTATATCAAACTAATTAATTACCTAGCTAAATTGCGATATAGAAATATGGCTGCAATTTCATTAGATAGAGCCAATCATGGGGGCGAAGATGTTGGTAAGTATTGTATATCTAGTATTATAACTATTTTTTAGTCTATTTTTTAAAATCTCTCTCTCTTTTTTGGTTCTCAATTAACTTATTGTCAGCTCTGTATAGTGTGGGTCCAATGGCACACATGTTTCACGGATCACAGGAACAGTCATATGTTGCACACGGCATGGCTTTCGCTGCATGTATTGGACAGTTCAATGATGGTCAGTACGATCACTGTATGATATCCTATGGCCGACCAGTGTGTATGACTACTATGTTTTTAATAATTATGCTATTATTGGTATTTTGTATTTTAAATGGTTTTTAATAATTGCTATTATATAAATTAATTATAACTTACGTAATATTTTTTAAAAATTTTAATCTAAACTTATTAGTTTTAATTTTAAAACATAAGCATTAAGATAGCTTATGTACCTTTATTATATCATATTTTAATTTCTACATTGTATTATACACTATAAATTTACCTAGTTGTCTAGTAAGTACATAAATTTACCAGTTAATGATAATAAAATTTATAGTATTTATTACTATTAAATTACATTTACCGTACTATTGATACCATTATTGATATTGTAGTAAATATATCTTTTTTTTATTTCTATTTGATATATAAATCTATTTTATCACTAATACTCTACCATTAAGTTAGTCTGTAATACTTTTACAGAACTCATAATTAAAAAATATAGTTTATTATCATATATAGTACAGTATTATGTAATAATATTTGTAATTTATATATTATTATTTTGTTTATTATTATTATTATTATGCAATATAAGTTTATGATAAGTGTAATATGATATTTAAATATTATATTTTCTAACAAATAAACTTAAAGTTATTTACACATAAATATTGTTAATATTTAAGTACAAAAAAATATGCAAATGTACTATTATTAAACATAAATTAAATAGTGTTTTTGCATTGAATATATATATTTGAATATCATTTAGATTAATAAATAAATAAAAATATATTCTGTTTCTAAGTAAAATTTATTGGAAATAAAAAAATAATTTGTTAACTAAATCATCACAAACTATACAGTATTTAAGTTAAAAAAATAGTTATAAAATTCAAATTACTAAACTAAACTAAATACTATTCATAGTTTTTATAACAATATCTATTAATCACAAAATGATTTCAGGATTAAATTTATTAATCAAGTTTCATAGATTTACTGGTATAACTTATTTTAATTACAACAATAACCTAAATTTAGTTACTAGAAAGTCATCATTAATTAGAAAACTAATATTGTTTTCAATTACACTAATTTATATATGCATTTTATTTTGTCTATTTGCTTATCTAATTCATGGTCTGATAAACATTAGTATAATGAGCCAAACATTTTTTAATAATCTAAAAAAATCTACACTGCTATCTATACTACTGGTGCTTGGTGAAATTGGCAATATCATTACAGTAACAGTTGCCTGGTTAACATTGGTAATTGGTGGAAAAAATATTTTGACAATAATTAATCATGCTAGACAATTTATCTCTATAGACAACTATACCGATAAAAGTATTGCACTGAAAATTATCATGGTACAAATTGCTATATCATTATTATCACCTGTACCTTATCTATTAGTACTATATTTTAAATATAATGCTATAATAGTTAATTCATTAATGCCTTATACTATGTGTCTATTATTTGTTTATACAAATGCATCGCTAATTGCATTAATTGCTTACTATAGTATATGTGTTGCCCATAGTTTTAATAATTTAGTTATAGTTAATAATAATTTGAAACCAAACATAAATCTAAACAAAATCTTTAAACATGTTTTACAAATAATTATATCGACTAAACAATTGGATAAATATGTATCATTTTATCTATTTATTTCACTGGCATTCAATACACTAAGCAATATAACTAGTTTTAGTCTAATATTTATGGATACGAAAAATTCAATGGATTTTTTAGTTGGTTCACTTGTATACTCAATGCCGGCTCTTATTATTGTTTGTATGGTTTGCGATATAATACCGAAAAGTTATCGACAATTGTTAGAAACAATATATGAATGGGAAGCAAATAATAATGGTTTACAACATAATAATAATAATAATAGTAATGACAATCAATTTAAAGATAACAATTTTATTATTAAACGTATGACTGATTTGACAGATGAGTTGAGTTTTACGGCATTTAATTTGTATAAAATTAATACAAAAACAATTTTATCACTAATGGCACTAACATTAAGTTATTCAGTAATACTCATACAAACAAATTAATGATTTCAGTTTAAATAATAATTATCAAATATTTTTATATAATTTATTATCATTTACACAAAATATGTTTTATCTTTTAAATCTATAAATTAAGTAAATTATAAGTAAATCTAAAATAATATCTATATATTGTATTTTAAAAATGATTACATTAACATGAAACATAAACACTTATGATTACTGTATTTACTTTATATATTAAATACACAAATTTAAATTTTAAAAAAGTTATTTGTTTTTCAATAACTTATTGCTAAAATATAATTATTCTAATTATTATTATTTTAGTGTATATAACCACAATGTTCAAGTTTTTTAATAAAATACTTTAATATTTACAATGAAAAATAATTAATAAATAATCTATAACTAGGTTTGAATTCATATTATTTATATACAGTACATTACATAAAATACTTGTATATTGTATGTAATTTTAATATAATATATTTTCAAAAAAAAACTTTGTTATATAATAAAATTTATATTATATTTAATGTTGTAATTGATAATTTAGTTATTTTGCAAGAACTTAATGTTTTACCTAATATTAAAATATTATTGCTAATTTATATACAATAGTTTAATTATATTACATGGAAATTATATTAAATTATTTAATGAATGAATTATAGTAAAAAATAGATATCTAAAATACATAATAGAAATAAATGATTAAAAATGATTTATAAATTAAATAAAAAACATTTGTTATTATTTATTAAAATTTAAAATAAACATATAAAATATTAAGTTATAAAAAATATAACAAAGTTTTATATTATTTAAGTTTATTATATATTATAATTTAAGTTTATTATATATTATAATTTAAGTAATAAAATAAAATATCGACATTATTGTAAGCTAAATAAAAAATAATATAATTTATTAGTTTAATTATTAAATTTAATTATATAATTAACTTACAAAATATAATTTAGGAAAAGCCATGACAAACATCGGACCGACACTGAAACCAATGATCAATCCCTTTGACATTAATTTTTCAAAAAACATTATTACTTTTAATTAAGATTACTTTTATTATTTAAATCTAATTACAATATAATTATTTTATTTAACAACAAATATAATCGTTTTGATACAATTGATGCACAAAAAATATTTAACTTATTTATGATGTCTGTATTAATATAACTGAATAGCTAAGTGTTAGTGCCATCAACGATAATATGGTTTTTGTATTGATTTTATACAAACCAAATGCAGTAAAACCTAAATCATTGTTCAGTTGATACAAACGTAGCATCAATTGATGATAATTAGCTGTTTGTCTATAGATATCGTAATTTTTAATTTCCGATTCACGTATTTTATTTAATAATTTTCGATAGGCTTTCGGTATAATATCACAAATCAGACAAATAATAATCATTAGACTCAATGTATATATTACATGTCCTATCAATGTATCCAATACTTTGTTTGATTGTATACATAACATAACTAAACCAGAAATATTGTTAATAGTTGTAAATGTTAGCACAGTTAACAAATAGTGAGATACCATACTATCCAATTGACTGGTTATATGACTTATTTTCAATACATATCTGAAAATCTTGTCAATATCTATACGGATCGACTCACTGGCCATTGATTTGCCAATTGTTGTCAAACTATGCGATACACATAACGAGTAATAAGCAATTAGACTGACAACCGATAGATTTAAATTGACAATTAATAATCTAGCTATCATTGAATACGTGATAATTTGCCAATAACCAGGATAAAAATATAGATAATAAATTCTACTTGGTAAACTAATTGCCAATGAAAATGATAATTGTATGATGATAATTTTTTCAACTAGTCTACGCTCATAATTTAGGCTAATTTTTAAATATCGACAATTGTTAGCAAGTATATTTAGTATAATAGTGCCACGTAAAACTAATAATGACCATGATACAATTAATGAACAAAAATAACTGATTTCACCAACTGTTAGTAAACTAATTATAAATTGTGTACGTTTTGTATTAATAAAATAGTTATGTTTTAATGATTTAACAGTAGATAGATTAAAAAAATACATGATAAATGCACCAAGTATAATTACAAGCATCATAATTGTTATTAGTAATAACAATGTTTTATGAACTAAACTCATTGAACGTTTTGGATCAAAGTTGAAATAAGTGATCCCGGTACATCGATGATAAAATATCAATCTATTTAATCCTAATCTGTGATTTTGCTCCATTGATATATCAATTATTTATTTTTTAAAATTAGAAAATACTAACTCAATTGATTCAATTAAATTAAAAAATATATTTTATTGATAATAATGTTTATATTGCTTAATGTTTGTATGTATATACAACTGATAGCAGTCTCTATGACTGATTATCAGTTGTTTTTAATTTTTATGCATAAAATAAGTTTTGCTTATAAATAGTAAAATAATACTTATCAGTATATTCTCAATACTGATTAAATAATACGGCATTGAGTTACTAATACTATATTGAATACTATACGGCAAAAAAATACTGTTATTATAAGATATACAAAATAATACTAATTATTTTATTTAATACTTTTGGTAATACTATTGTTTTAGTTTTTTTTGTGTGTAGTTTAATACTGTATAGTAAATAATAATATTGTTGTGCTAATACTAAGGTAATACAGTGTGGATATAATACTGAGAAAAGGCCGTCAATAATATATAATTTTTGGGATAATTAATACTTCTGGTAATTAATACTATACGGTAATTATTGTTTTTTTTAATACTTATTATTATTGTTGATTATTATTATTATTAATACTAATTACTATTATTATAATTATTATTGTTAATGATTATTATTATTATTATTTGATATTATAATACAGTCATGTAAAGATGTTTTATAGGGTCGGTGCTGCCATCTATTGATGGTACCCGACACTACTAAAACTAGAGTGTGTGACGGGAATCACGGTTTGTTCCCAATGGGAATAACCGTGATTTTCCCGGGTAAACGGGAGTGTGTTGGGAATAGGGTATTAAAATACCCGACACAAATCCTAACATATTCCCGTCTAGAACACAAAATATACACCTCTAGTTTAGTTATGTGGTTTAACACATAACTAAACTATAGGGAATTTTATGGGAAAATTTAGGGAATATATAGGGAATTTTTAGGGGAATATTATATTTATTAAATAATCTCTTTGTTTCCTATGGGAAACCAATACAAGTCTATGAATTTATATTAGGGAAGGAAAGGCATGTTTGCACACGACACCATTAGGTGTTGTGCGCAAACAATAAGTCCCATTGAATTAGAGAGTATATAAACGGCTGTAAACCATTCATTTGGTTATGAAGTGTTGGGTTCAGACTTAAACCAGTTAACCCTAAAGAGTGCTAGGATTTGCATTAAACTGCAGACCTAATAACAGACCATAGGATTACGTATAAATTTATTGTACTTTTGTTATTATTATTATCAAATAAATACTGTTTTCATTTACAATACGGATTACCATTTATTTAACTCAACGGTGAGTCGTCAGACTTAGTCGGTGTCTGTCTTCGGATAGACACCGGTTGTGTTTCATCCGCTCGTATCGGACCGCTGAGGCGTATCAACGGCTACGGATCGGTGCGACACAACGCATGTGGTGGCTAAAGCGGTGAGATTTACTCTACTATTACCGGTAGCATAGCTCTTTAACTGGAGTACTGCTCACATTACCTGTTATAAACCGACGGTAAGGTTCTTTAAACAGAACCTACCGACTCACACGCAAATCCAAGCACAGTGATGAGTAGACTTTTAAAACAAAGTCACTCATCATTAATAGGGCTTAAAGGTCCAAAAAAGATCATAGGCCTGTGCATACCGAGGGAATGGTAGCGCAGCGCTTTTGTCAACAGAGGATGTCGGCCTAAAAACTGACACTAATCCTCTGATCTTCTCACCTCACATGGGAGGAATGAGAGCCTTGGTTTAAAACGGCTGAGGGGTGCGAATGACATGTAATGATCGCTGTGATTGACTTAAACGAGTCAACACCTAACTGAGTTCTTAAACTGGAACTCAAAAATGCTACGTCTATCAACAACAAGGGATGGTTGCTGACGGACGTGTGGACTAAGGACGAACCCAACACTTCATCAAACACCGGCTGTTATCGACACTCGAGGATGGCCAAACGACAACAACAACACCCGACTAATATCTAATAATAATAAACACTCGACTAATATCTAATAATAAACACTCATTAACATAATAACTCTTATATAATGTTGGGGGAATAAACTAATAAACTCCACTCTAATACTAATTGCGCAAAATTGACTCATTAAAGCTCGCTGTGATTTAAAACTTTTATAAGTGTATTCATTAAATATAACAAATATTTTTATATTATGTCTAAAGCAGATGTCACGTAGCAGATCAAACAGCAACTCTTCCAGTGATGGCTCGTCTATTACCTTCAGTGAGGCCAGTGATGTGCCTCTTACACCTGGCCATTCAATGGATGACATATTTAACTCAACTATTGGAATGCCATCTACATCTGTACCCGAAACCGAATTGACTGCAGAGACAATACCCGAACCTGAATTAGCCACAGATATCGTACCAAACCCGATCACTGAGGCTACACAACATGACTGTCAACCATCCACATCAAAGTCTGCCGTTAACGACTACGATTCCTGGTCCGAATCAGACACCGAAAGCAGTGACAAATCCGACACCCATTCCAATGATAAGAGTGACTCAAAGCGTAAGAGTAACACCGAATGTGACTCCAAATGTGACTCCAAATGTGACTCCGAATGTGACTCGAAATGTGAAACAGACAGTAGCAGTTCTAACACTGATACCGACAACTCTGAATACATTATGAATGAAGACGTTTACGACGCAATGGACGTTGATTTGCCCGAATTTGCTGATCTACCAACCGAACAACAACAAGTATCCGAACCTTTCAATCCACCAAATCCTGTACCTGAACCACAACCGCGACAAAGTACTTCTGGAAATCGTAACCGCCGACTTCAGGACTATCAATCACTTGAAAAACCCGTAGAAAAGACATACAATATTAATGCCATAAACACAGAAATACATCCGGAATATAACTTCGCTAACCAGATAACACATGATTGTTTCAGCACATTTAACGACCAAATATCTACATATACAATTGGACTTAAACAAATATTTGTTGGATTTCATCACGGATTAATCGGAGCTTTCAAACAATTCCCGTTCGCTCCGGTTACCTATCAATTTCACCCGAGACTTCGAGGTGAGGTAACAATTATTAGAAGTGGTATACCTCGCTTCTATCTATTAGCGACAACCAAAGACCAGATCGCTCAGTATGACGAAAGAAATGGCAAACAAATTCATCAACACACATACAACAACAAAATTTTTACGGTTAAAGGATTGCTTACAGAAAACTTCCATAAATTTGTTGTATTAAACAAAACAAATGATAAGATACCATTCACTCAATTTGATACTCTACTAATCAACAGGGCTGAAAAAGTGTTCAAAGGCGTTAAATATGCATTTGGCATCAAAGGCATTGCTGAAAATGTACAGTTCAATTTCAAAGAAACAACAAAAGACATCATTCAATTGTTAATACATCTAAAAGCTGATTCTCAACCGATGCGACTAAAAATATACGAAGTAAGAGTCAGTGAGAACGGATTCATACCAACCGAAAAAGAATGCATTCCTTTCTCTACTACCACTCTTGGACTTCAAAAACTATTGATCACAACACAATATTCATTTGTTGGAACCATCAAAAGCACTAAGAAAACAGACATAGAGGTATATAATAACAATACTTTATCTCTTTATAAAAAAATCAGAACAATTGGACATCCTATCAAAGAAATTTCATGGAGCGGAAATTCGTTGATCGTAATCACCGAATTAATGCAGATTGAGATCTTCGATGCGATACATCTAACCAGAACTCACTTGATTTCAGCTGATAAACTGGTCACAAAAGCATCAATAGTTTTCAATCCGCGACCAAAGCCAATTAAACATCAGCGCTTGTATATGGAACCATCAATATTTTACGTCCAGTCTAATTCAATGATGTGCTCTCGTCCTCTTAAAGACTATAAAATAACTGAAAATACCAAAATGATTAAATACCAAAGTCGCTATATCATCGGATATCAAGGTGATCTCAGTGTGAAAGAAATAAAAAGCAAAAATCCAAACAAAAAATCCAAAGTAAAATCTATTGCTGCTAACCCATCAGATTATATTCTAGAACAAATAGCAAACTTTCATAATGTAGAATATACTAAAATAGATAAAACCATTGAAGTTAATCAAACGTTTGATCCAGTAGAATTGGATGCTTTACAAAAGAAAGGATTAAAACCAAAAGCTTTCAAAGAACTAAATTATAAAGTTATACGTAGAATACCTCAATTAGACATTCATGCAACACCTACTAAAAAGACTCATAGAGAAGCATTACGAACCGCTATTTTACAATGTCATAGAAAATACACTACTAAATTAGTACCATTAAAAAAATTATTTGAATTAAATTTAATTTAAAATTAAAATCTTCTGTATAATATTTAATTACAAACAATTCAAATAAATGTTTTATGCAACTTAATTAAAATTGTTTTTATTTACAATAAATTAATAATCTGTTCCTAATAGCAAACAAAAACAAAATCACATTCGATAAATATGGCGCAAAAATATTTTGTCATCATTGCAAAGATTCTGGTTTCACATACTCCCATCATCCATATGACTGCAATACCTGTTGGACTTGTGGTAATCTCGGACACATAACAAAAGACTGCAAAACAAATACCTTCAAAATAAGAGGTCAAAGTTGTAATAATATTGGTTATTATGAAAATTCAAATTCACTATGTTTCAAGTATATTGCAATTGATGTAGAAAAATTAAGTAATCATAATGATAAGCTAATTCCAGGATATGTGGCTATTGTTGGCTTCAATGAACAAAGGTGTAAAAATAATTATGATCTTTTGTTTGCTGCAAAATACAGATATCATAGAAAAGAGATAAAACGCTATTTAACACAATGGTCTGGTCTTCTCCCATCTTATCATGGCCAACGTGCAACTCCCCCACACATTGTTAAAGATAAGCTGTTAAAAATTATTAATAATAAAATTATAGTTGGCAACGATATCGTCAACGATTTAAAATGTTTAGACATTTATAAAAACATCAATCAAGATAAAGTGGTCGATTTGAATAAAATATTCATAGATAGCAAAGGACAACCTATTGCATTACGTCATTTGTCCTTGACAATATTAAACAAGAAAATACAAGAAAATAAGCAGAATTCAATCAAAGGTCACGATCCAGTTATCGACGCGCGCTGYTGTGCAAAAATATACCTCAAATACATGCGCAAAGAAATTAAAGTAGGATGTGACGGTACTTATCAATGGATACGTCAAGAAGCTGATAATAGATTAAAGAAATGATATAATATTGTATAAAAGCAGACAAAATTTTGTAAAATTATTATTAGTTTATTTTATTTGAAATATTTTGAATAAATTGTTTTAAAAATGTGGAAAAAGAAACTTGTATTTTATTTACTGTTCTCTCAAGTGTTTATTGAGTGTAATGTTATTAAGAGGAGTACTAAATGGGCATCAATACCAGCTGCCACAATAACAATACCGAGTGTTGAAATTCACAACACTGACAGCACTATAACAGCAAATACCGCTGCTTATGTTGAAACCAATATCACTCAACCGACAACTGAAACAATTGAATCTAATGACACTACAACCTATGACTCGACAAAAGATAATATCGCTACAGAGAAAATTATAGTGGAAAACATAAGACATGAGGTGACAACTGATGTCCCGACTCTATTTCAACTACCGAAACGCTTTCAAGAAATGTATGGAATACCTATTAAAGGAGCAATGGAAGGAGTGATTGAAACCGAAAGCATTATACCAACTGGAATAACCAAAGATAACTATAATGACAAATTTTCAAATAGCGACTATTTGGTGCGTACATCTGGCAATGGCGTCTCGTTTACAAACATTGGAAGAACTCTTATCTTCGAAAAACATTGGGATGCCATCTTTAGGATTGAAATACCATCTCTGCCAGAGGTAAACCCAAGTGATATGGCGTTAAAATGTAAACAACTATTTAATAGTGAATTTTTAAAAACCGACTCAAGATACCAACAACAATCAACAACCGATCAGACGTATATCTTCTATAATGATGTTATAACTGGAGATATTATTAGAGAAAACGTGGAAACACAAACTACAGAAAGGATAACTGATCACAATAATACACACCTGTGTGATGATATCCTAACAACCTATAATGAACTTATTGATGAAACAATACAGATAATGACAGACTCAAGAAAAGACTTCAACAAAGACTTAATCCGAACAAAAAGATTTTTACCATTAGTGGTACCAGCTTTAATCATTGGCGGTATCTCACTGGTTGCTGGTGGAATCGGTGGTGCTGGATCGGGTGCCGTTACTAACTATTTTATGAATAGAAATCTCGGTGATAGAATATCAAATTTAGAAACTAATTTGAACTCATTAGGAATAAATGTTATTTCACTTGCGGAACAATCGGTCACTTTGGCCAGTGCCGTATCTGACTTAGCATATAATGTGGATGAAAAGTTTCGTTTAATTCAAAAATCAATGGACCGACAAATCAATTCATTAACTTCTATGTTTAACTATCAATTACAAATACAACATATCGGTCAAATATTAACTATTCAAACAATGTCATTACAAAATTTAATGAATTTGGAATTAGACCAAATACGTGAGTGGGACTTATTATTATTAGAGTTAAGAACTGGTAGACTTCCACGGAAGCTAATTAATTTTGAAACACTCAAAGGAATGCTAAAAGAAATTAAATCTAAACTCTCTGGACGATATGATTTGGCAATCAAAGAAAAAGATTTCAATCTATATTATCAACTACCCATATGCGATTTTGAAGTGCTTAATGACAACGAAAAATATTACGTATACGTACACATCAAAATACCTATTAAACCGGCTCAAATACAAAACGAGTTTAACATAATTAAACCGACATTTTATGGAATTCCTTGTGAACAAAACAAATGTGTATATGGAACAAAAGATGAGAAAACACTTGTGCAGTTAGACAACAAAGACACCAGTTGGCTAATAAATGCATTTGATGGCAATTTAGAATATGAAGTCATGATTCAATCACTTGATTGCATTTCGTCTGGTAATACTAAATTATGCTATACTTTTCATGCATCGTCTATACACACACCGACAACTTGTGCTAATGGTCTATTTAATTGGAATGAAACAATGATAGTCGAACACTGTATAACAAAGCATAAAAGTCTTACAGAATATAAAGCGATACCGGTTAAAGAATACATGTATGCAATACATCAAGATATGGTACCTTATTATACGGAATTATGTCTAAATAAAAAGGCCCAAAAATATTCTATTGATGGTTGGGTCGACATAATTGTTTTATCTGAGAACTGTGATGTCTACATAGACCAAACAAGCGAAACACTATTGGCTCCATATACCGAAATGAATGGCTACACTATACATAACAGCACTAAAGTGACATATAGATCAAGCTTAATACAAAAGATTATGCAAAAGTTTTCAACTGACACACCATTTCCAGTTTTACCTTCGGCTCTTGTACAGCGTATGGAAACAATCTTCGATGGTGCTGATATGATTTCTCAGAACACTGAACTAAGTGATGCACAACTAACGCAAATAGCAAAGAAAAGTATATTAATTCAAAAAAATATGAATCAAATTATTAAAAATATTCAACATAATCTACACGATATAAAGGCAAAATCTATGTTTTGGTATTATATCGGTATCTTCCGACAGATCTTTCAGATGATTGTTATCTTTATAATGTTCATCTCATTGATAACAAGTTCGCGACACTATCACCTATGGGGCTTACCGTTTTTCACAAACATCCCAAAAGCTAATGCCAATCCTATTAGTTACGCACTGGACTACATCAATCCTTTTAGTTATATAGCCGATGAAATATTAAACTTTTTCACTTCTGCAACAATTATTATTGAACTGGTTTTCCTGATAATGTTTATTATAACATTAATAATCATTTATCGATATCGTTATGGACGAGATGTTAAGTTTTATCAATATTGGGGTGGACTTACTGGCTATGAAAAATGGGAAATGATAAATGAAAAATTCTGCTTAATTATTAACCACTTACCAAACATTCATCAAATGGCTACAACAAAATCGGAACTCATTTATTTGGGATATCCTATACGAATGGATTTATCGTTAGTCAAAATTATACATATCGTCACACCAAGTAACCGATGGAAAGTCTTCAAAGAAAACAATGAAATGATATATCAATTGGAAGCCAATGTCGAAATATTAGGTCTAGACTCAGACCATAGAGTCATAAAGCGAGTAGACCAGACAGTCAGATGTAAAATATCTGAACTTAAATACAGGACACAAGGAAAACCAACATCTTTCAAAATGACAGGACATGGCCGAGTGAATATTACACACTATATTAAGTCAAGTGGAATACCAATAATACCTATACAACCAATACAACCAATGGTCGTTCAAAGTCGAGTACCTATTGTACGTTTTCGTCCATCAAGAGAAGACATCGAACTTGAAGACATCGGTCGAAGTAGTGGTAGCCGACAGATTCGCGAAAGCGGAGCATCCGATACTGAAGCCAATGAGACACAACCGAGATTCTATTCTCGAACTAAATTTATTAGAACTAAATAGAATTTAAATTACATATTATTATTATTAAATTACATATGTAATTTTTGAATGTAGAAAATAGATTAAAAATAAAAATAGATTAGCAGCATTAAAACAAATTGACTATTTTTTTTTTAATCAGTTATGGATCAGACAAATAACGATCACTTTCAAAACGCTGATCAAARTGTAACGTATGAAAATCTAAGTTCAGCACTGAGTGATTTATCACTTGCCGCTGATCAACAGCCAAACAATGCGGCGCTACGTGTAAACACTAACTTACAATCAAATGTTACGAGTATAGCAATGATACCAAAGTATACTCAAAACAATGACCCGACTTTATTTGTTGAGGAATATGAGATAATCGCCAGAATAAGAAGATGGACTCAACAAGATAAAGTGGACTATCTAATGATAGCTTTTGCCGACTGTCCAGCGGCCAAATATTATTATATGCGATTAATTAAGGCAAATCCTTTAATAACTTGGAATGAGTTCAAGGAATTGTTTAAAAAACAGTTTCTTATGACATCTATGAATATGTCACCAATTGCAATGATCGCTAACAGAACACATACAGATAACGAAACTCTGGATAACTATTGGCATTCAAAATTAGCAATGATTGATGCAAACACATCTCATCTAATGAGACCCGAAAACTTTGATGAGTTGAAAAATCTAATGATCAGTGGACTTAAAACAAGACTCAGAACAAGTGTTAAAGATAGACTAGTGACAATGTGGAGACAAACTCTTACTGTCGATGAACTTTATCGATTGGTGGTAGAAAGTAATAAATTTCTCAATAGTCGTCATAACACAGATTATTATGGCAACACGTCACGGTATGAGAGAACACAATTGGCTCAGGATGACAAAAGACCAAATAAAAATTATTATGGTAAACAATTCAATGATAAACGGCAGTCATACAGACAATATGAAAAACAAAGCAATCAACCAAAGCCTAGTACCAGTGGATGGTTAAACAGTAAAGACAATCAACAAAATAACCCACAGAAACGATACAGTTGTTTCCATTGCAATAAAGAAGGACATTATAAGAGAGATTGTCCTGATTTGAAAATCAAAGAAAAACAAAACCAGGGAAACTACAACAAGCAAGCTTAATCGAGTGTGTTAAACTTGCTGATACTGAACACTCAGAAAATTCAATTAAAATCAAAATTATTATAAACAATAGCCATTATATTGCAGTAGTAGATACTGGTAGTACAGTATCATTAATTCATTCAGAAATCTGTTATAATGAAAATTTCATTAAAGAAATAGTTCACCCAAGAAATATTAGATTATTGGACAACAGTTTAAAAATCATTGATGAAGCAGTTATTGTCAACTTTTATTATAACGGTCAAAATTTTGAACACAAATTTCTTATTTTCGACGATATGAGTGATCGCATAATTATTGGATACGATTTCATTAAAGAAAATACATCCATAATAGATATTGAAAATCAACAACTTATACAATTACCAGAAAAACTTAACAAATCAAATGGATATCAAATTTTTACAAATGAATCATTGTTTATACCCAAAAATACAGCAAAACCAATTAAAATATTTCAAGAAAATATGGATAATAAAGACTTAGAATTTGGCTATTTCGTCCCAAACAAACATTTTATTACAAA